GCGGCCGAGGAGATCAACACCAAGGAAGTGGCGCAGCGCATCACCGCCGAGCTGAAGCGCTACAGCATCCCGCAGGCCATCTTTGCACAGCGCATCCTCTGCCGATCGCAGGGCACGCTCTCCGACCTGCTGCGCAACCCCAAGCCCTGGAGCAAGCTCAAGTCGGGCCGCGAGACCTTCCGCAGGATGTGGAAGTGGCTGCAGGAGCCCGAGTTCCAGCGCATGTCGGCGCTGCGCCTAGCAGGTAGGAGCGCGCCGCGCACCGCCCCCCCCCACCCCAGTCAGCCCTCTCTCCATGCCTCGGCCATGCTCCCCGCCGGCCCGGCACCCCTCAGAGGGCAGACAGTGATCGGCGCCCCTCCTCTGTCTGTACCGTCGCTAAAGGGGACAAGGGAACTGCGCCGTCTTCCCCGGAGCCGTTATCCCTCCCCCTCCGGGAACCGCGCCCCAAGCAGCCGCCAAGGTAGTTCATTGTGTGTGTGTGTGTGTGTGTGTGTGTGTGTGTGTGTGTGTGTGTGCGCGCGCGCGCACGCGAGCTCGCGCGCGTTGTGGGGGGTTTGCTGTGTCCCCAGACGCGCCGCTGCTGTCAGCTTGGGGTGCCACACCCCTCCTCCCGCGGGAGAGGGGCCGCTGCGCCCCTAGCCCGTCCCAAGAGCGCGGCCAGTGCACCGCGGAGACCAGGGCCGGGCCTGCAGCTCAGCCCCCGGCCCTGCGCGCGCTTCTTTGTAGCTCGGCCCCCGCGATCGATAGCCGCCTCCACCCGCGCTCCGGCCGCTGGCAAAGGTCACCCGAGAACCGGCGGGGGAGGGGCGGCCCGGGGGACCCTCGCCCTCGCGGCCGGGAGGCCTTCAGACCCGTCCCAGCCGCCCGGCCCCCGCGTTGGCTCAGAGCTCGGGGGGCGCGCGGTTCGCTGGCGGGTCTTTCCTGTTTTGTCTCTCTCTCTATCCGGTCAAACTGCTGTCGATTTTTTTGTTTTCTTGCTCCTCGTTTTTCTGTTTCCCTTCATTCTTTCTCTTTCTCTCTCTCTTTCTGTATCTCTGTGTCTCTGTCTCTATCGCTCACACAGACACACTCGACCATCGGCCCCCCGGGGACCACGCTCCCTCCTCTCTCCCAGCTGACAACGGCTGGGTCTACACCTGCCCCCAACGAAGTGGCTAGCCAGGCCCCTCATCTGCTGAGTATGTGTGGGGGTGTGGGAGAGTCCCCCCAGTGGCCTGGCCAGGGTGAGGGGGTCTTTCCCTGGCCGCACTGGGGAGGGGGCTGCGCGCCCAGCTGCGGTGACAATAGCCGCGGGCTCCCGATCGATAGATGCTTCTGGCAGCGCGCGGGCAAGTGGGGCGGGGCGGCTGGGGCTGTACCAAGGCACCCGTCTAACAGGGAGGTGAGGTGGAAGTTGTCTGCACCCCTAGCCTGCCCAGCCAGGCAGGAGGCGCCGAAGAAGGGGTGCCAGGGGTCGGGGAGGGGTCACCTGTCCCTTCCTCCACGGAGGAACCACCCCCTCCTCGGGAGCCAGGCCGACTGAATGGCTTCGGGGAGCGCATTCGCTTCGCGGGCCTCAGTTTCCCCCTTCTGCAGAGCGAGGTGACTGTGTATGGAGCTCCTATGGGCTTCTTGGAGTCTCCACTTCAGCGCCTTGGGAATAAATTCTTTGTCGTATGTGGCAGGTGATGAAGTACACAGGGAAGTCCTGGTGACATATTAGAAATGGCTTCGTGAACCTACCTGGGTGGTTCCATGTGAAGGGCAACCCACTCGGTCCTGCTTTCCACGACACATCTGATGGCACACTTGTGCTCATGTGAACACTCAGGCCTACGGATCCACAGCCACCACCTGCAATTTGCAATGTGAGTGACATCAAGTGGCAAAAACACACCCGTACACTCGGGCTAAAGGCACAGCTCCAAACCCTCACATACTAAGTGGCTCCTTAGGATCCTTCAACAAGGCGACATGTGGCATCTTTAAATATCGCCATACTCACCACCTGCCCCTCCTCCCCAGCGCTTAGATTCGGGGGGACGTGCGCACCATCTGTGCACCCCAAATAATGCATGCCGCTTGCTGTCACCTTATGCAACTAACATGACCCATGAGCGGTATTTGAATCACGCATTTGGGGACGTATCGGCCGGAGAACAAAACTGGAGGTGAGAAACCCCACTGGAGTGCCTGCTGCAGGGTGAGGAGGCCCTCCGGGCACGGAGAACGGCCTGGCCGCTGGCATTCCAAGCCCACGGCCTGCGTTCTCTTGGCCCGCCCAGCGGCCAGGCAGGCACGTCCTGGCCTTAGAGCTACCCTTCCCGCCGCCGCCAGGATAATTACAGAAGAGGAAACTGAGACACTGGTGTCCCTGAGCGGCCACTGCCTGACTTCTGCCGCCGTGGGCGAGCAGTTTCCCCTCTCCGAGCCTCGGTTTCCCTTTTGGGAAATGGGAGTTCCACGCTCCGTAGGAATATGGCAAGAACTGGCGTTGCGAGGCGCCGTCCGGGCCGGGGCGCAGGAGCCTCGATGCCAGTGAACCTGGGCCCCCCGGCCTGTTCTGCGCTCCTCGGCACGCTGCCCAGGCTGGGTTCGCGCGCCTGGCCGCGCACCCGCCGCACTTCTGGCGGTCCGAGGTGGCCGACCGAGGGCCAGGGGGAATTACGCGCGCGAGCCGAGGCCTTTAGTTCCGGTCGCTGCGCAGATGAAAAGCAGTTAAGTGGCGGCAAATCGCTGCGCGTACTGGGAGGCGGCGGGGCGCGTCCCCACTCCCTAACGTCGCACAGCACAGCGACAGCCAGAACCTCTCCAGGGGCACCGACGTGCTCACGCTCATCAAGAGGAAACCCCCCTCCGCACTATCCAAACTCGGCAGGGAAGGACTTCCCCGTCCCCCCACCCCGGCCGGCGACACCGCCAGGCCTTCCCCTCGACCTCCTCGCGCCCGCCGGAGTCCGGGCCCCGCGCGCTCGCCCACCTCAGGAACGCGCCACTCGGTCCGAAGCTGCTCCCGGCGAGCCCTGCCCGGTCGGAATGTCCTGCCCTGGTGAAAAGGCCCCAAGGACGAGAGAGAGAGAGAGAGAGAGAGAGAGAGAGAGAGAGAGGAAGAGAGAAAGAGGCAAAGAGACAGCGAGAGGCAGGACGGTACAAAGGGAGGGAGGGAGGAAACAGACGAGAAGCGAGAGAGGGAAAGACAAAAACAGAAAGAAAATTGAGAAAGACCCCGAAGTGGAGGGAGAGAGAGAAACCGAACAGACAACCCGAGAAAAAGACCAAAAAGAGGCCGAGAGACCAGAGAGAGAGACAGAAAGAGGGGAGCCGAGAGCTGGGGCTGGAGGCCCCTCTGCCCCAGCACCGGCTGGGCCTCCGCGCCCCGAGCCCCCCAGCCCTCCCAGAACCGCGTCCTCCTCCTGGGATCCCGGGAGGCGGGGACGGCAGAAGGGTGGTTTGTTTGTTTGTTCGAAGCGCGGGGTCCCTGATCTTGCTGCAGGTTTGCGCGCCTCAGTTTACCCATCTGTAAAATGTTGGGGGGGAGGGGGACCAGGGTTCTGGGTCTGACATTTGAGATTCTGGCCTGTCCCGCAACCCCCAGACCCACCCCCACGGGGCGGGGCCTCACCCCCCCCCCGCCAGCCCGCGGGTCCTCCGAGTCCCGCAGCTCCCGAGCCGCCTCCTCCTTGAAGCCCTCCCAGGCTCAGTCTTCAACAGTAATTATGCGAGAGGGGCTGGGGGAGGGGCGGCGGGCTCCTTGGCGGGGGCGGGGCGGTCGATGCGTTCGAATTACCGTCTCTATTCATCACGTCGCCGGGTCGATAGCTTCTGCCGTTTTCAAATATTGTTCAAATTGCAACTCCGGAGCAAAAGTATTTTTTGTAACTGATCAGAAAAAAACAAATATATATATATATATATATATATGAAATAAAATATAAGATAGCTGTGGGAAGGCCGGCCCCCTCCCCCCTCTCCAGGAGCCCAGAATCCTGGAGTGGTGGTGGAGACTTGCCGGGGAAACTGAGGCAGAGAGGGATCCTGCTCCCCCTCAGAGGGGATGAGATAATTTGCCCCTAAATGAAACAAACTGGCCCCTGGGAAAAAAAAGAAAGATAGCAAAGAAGGGAGGGAGGGAAGGAAGAAAAAAGAATGGATGGAAAGGCCCTGATTTGTTTCTGGAACCATTTTGCTGATGGGTGATGAGCAGTAATGGCGGACTGGGGGGTGACAGGGCTGGCAGGGCAGTCCCTGAGAGGCTGGGGGTCTTCAGGGTTAGACAACCCCTGGAACAAGAGGTTAGACCACGCCTCAGGCTAATACAGGCCTGCCCGCCCCCACCTCTCTCCCCCACTCTGCCACCTCCATTTCAGGCAGGGGCTGCCTGGGGGAACCCAGTTCCGGGGTCCTACTCATGGGTGACCATCTGCCCCCCATGAACACTCTGGAACCCCTTCTTCTGTAGAGACCCCTCACCTTCCACCACCTTCCACAGACACACACCCTCAGGAAAGACCCCCAGACGCCTGAGAACTGCCGTCAAGGGGTTCGGAGACCGTGGCACTGTCTGGGTTCCATCTCGGCTGATCTGGGCGTGAGCCTGTCTCCTCATCTGAGAAATGGAGAGAATTCAGTGCCGCCGGCAGGTGTCTGCTAACACTGTTCTTACCAAGGAGCCCTGGGGGCGCAGTGGCTGAGAGCTCAGCTGCTAACCAAAATACCAGCAGCTGGAATCCACCAGCTGGTCCTTGGAAACCCTATGGGGCAGTTCTACTCTGTCCTGTAGGGTCGCTAGGAGTCGGACTCCACGGCAATGGGTTTTTTGTTTTTATTCTTATAAAGTCCTCCCCTACTGAGAGTCTCTGGTGGAGTCACAGACCCCACATTCACAGTTCAGGGGGAACGCCTCAGGTCACCTCAGCCCATGGGGTGGACAGAGCGTGGGCACGGGGTGCCCAGGGGCCAGGGGTCTGCAGGACTCACCAGAGGGACTGGGGCCCCATGGGGATGCTTGCGGCGGGGGTAGGGAGGCTGTCGTGGGCTGTGTGGTGCGGGACCCCTGGGTAGGCTCTTCAGGGATCCCCAAAACCAGTCTCCCACCTCCAGACCTCAAGACTCCAGATTGGGGCAGCCCAAGGGCCAGCCTAGGATTGGTGATCCCAACCACCACCACCCCAGGCATGCAGGATGGAGAACAGAAGGGCAGGCTCCAAGATGGGAGGGGGAAAAGCTGGGGTCCCTGACACTTTCCTTCCCCCCACCCCCACT